CTCAAAATTGTTTCGAAGAAGCAAAGATTTGACTTTATGTTCGAGATCTTTTATTGGGAAGAATTTATTTCTGATAAACTATTTAAACTAGATAAACTTGAATTCTTCTTCTCTTATCAATATGATGAAAACGACGATTTCATTAGTCTCGAGTCACTCATTGTTCCATTTCGAACTCAATTCTGGGTTGAAACTAAACGTTGGTTTGTAGCCTGTGCATACATTCCAAGATCACATGAGATCTGGGTATATACAACACCTATCAATATCATTGACATCAAGGAATTAGATCGATGTGAAGTATCGTGGATGGACAATATATGTCGTCTGACTGAACAGCCATTGTATAAAATAGTTGACAATACTTCAGATGAGGTATGTGACAAAACCTGTTTGCAACCAGAACTGATCATTGTATGAGAATTGTACAAATACGAGTACGAGTATAAGAATTTCGAATACGATCACATTGGAACATCTATCCAACATCGTTAGAGCATATATGTTGAATATAAATAGTTGTACTTTTGCATAAGATCAAGGGTGGAAGAAATTAGCTATTGGTTTGATTTTCGAAGAAAATAAATAGATGCTTGGTACCACTTGAATATAAAACTTTTATTTAAAGAACGAAAGCGGATAAGGTCGTTTTTCTGTCCTCAACATATTTCATTCTCTTTTGTGTTGAAATCGATTCAGTGGAGACATCTGATTGCATTTCAAAGATTTATTTCGCACCGTCTCTCGATCATTTTTCGAGGCACACCCGTATTCCTCTACAAGGGTAATAAAAATTTGACAATCCTTCGAGAGACTATGTGTGTGACCTGAAAAATTGATCGGGGGGATGTTGCGAAATAAAACATTGCAATGTTATCAGGAGTCGTCACTGAATTGATTTCAAGATAAAAACGGAAATATTTTGGGAGTAGAAAGCGGCCTTACCTGTCTTCATCTTTTCAAGTGCTTGATACTCCAGTATAAGTCCTTTGGATATTTTATTCAGCTCTAAATTGTATCGTGCACTATCGAAGCTTTAGTTTAACTTCACTTTTGAAGTTCTGTAGAAACTCTTTAAGGATCGGAAAGAATCTCGGTGAACTCTATTTGGTAATTGATCGAGGTCATAGTTACTGATCAGCTATAAGCTATCGTAGGAGCTTTTATAAACTATCCTGAATTAACTCCTGTTTCCAATAGGCTACAAAATCAATTCTGATCTTCGTTAAATCCTCTCGAGAAAATCGTTAGAAACTCATGAAATTTCCACAGATGTATATGCTGGACAGCAATTGTAGGTATTTTCAATCTTTTTCTAGTCGAATTCCATGAGAAACCTATTACGATCCTTCTGAAATACTTTCGGTTTCTATATCGTAGGATGCTACTTCATGGTTCTGAAAAATTCTGTTCCACATCTTGCTAAGATCTATTCCTTCGCTTCTCGCAGAATTTTCAACAAGTCCTGGACTATTTAAGAATAAGAGTGAGGATGGATGGATGGATCGTTGAAGAGACGGGCTTCACTCTTAGTGACCCACTCACCATTTCATCTATTTGTTTATAGATAAGTCTATAAGAAACAATAGGTAGATCCTTCTTTGAAATACTTTCAGTCCTAAATTAGTAAACATTAAGTAGAATTGCTCATAAAAGAACAAATGTAGCCTGCAATAAAAGTAAAGCTCCAATTAATCAATAAATTCATTGGACACTTACAACTTTTATTGTTTCAACGAATTTTTAGATCAAACAAATAAGCTTGTGTCAACCCTATTTATACCATTCGAAAGTTCAAAAACCATTCATCTTCCGTGTAAAAATCAAAGATTTCTACTCGAATCTCACAAATCTATTATAGTTTCCTAAAAATGCTGAGTGGTCGAGTAATAAAATTATTATACATTTTGAAATTGAATAGGGGTGTATATTTTTCAGAAAATTTTTGATAGAAACAAGGCGGAGACCTACAATGTTCGCCATTGTAAAGAGGCAATGAAGTGAGGATCTGCAAAGTTACCTCGATCTCGATCTCGGTCACGTTGGCATCATAATCGGGACCAAATTTTGATTTTTACGAGACCGATACTGGGAGCGAGACTTAAAACTTGCTAAACTGGTCCCGATACATTTTCTGTTTAAGAACTAGACTATATATTGTCATACTTATTATTTTGTTCTGACTATAAATCTACAAACAACCCTTTATTATGATTGTGATAAAACCATAGATCTGCGAAATCACTTAGTTTCGATTCTGGACTAGAACTGAAACCATCTTGGAGGTTCCTACTAAAACTAGTACCTATAGTTCTGCACATCCTACGTTTTAATACTATCAAAGTGACGCTTGAGAAAACATTGATTGAAGAACACTCATTTATATTTTTTATCTATGAAAGTGTAAGTTTTGAAAGAATTTTCTAAGTCACACGGCCAAAACCAAGAAAAATTTTAAGTGAGACAATACAAGCGGTTTTATTTCCCTAGTCCTGATGCATGCATATAAAGGTATGCTCATACTATTAATTTCTCAAAATCTTCAATGTTAATTTTATATGTGTTCCAAGATTCATATAGATTATTAAAAAAAAAGTTTTTGCTAGGAACGAAATTAGGACCAGAAGCAATAAAAGAATTTTAACTGAGACGGGAACTAGGACCAGAAAAAAATGCTAATCGGAATCGAAACTGGAATCGGGACCAAAAAAATGTGGTCCGCCGTTTCCTACAATGAAGGCTCATCAAATCATAGATTTCCGAGTTTTTCGACACGATTTCTTCCGAAGTTCTATATCAAACTTTTCCAAAAAGCGTTCACTGTAATCTCTACTGGATTAAAATGTGAAATATGATGGGGTTAATTTCATCGTTAATGTAGACCTTCGCTATGTTGATAACGGTCCGTGCATAGATCACAGGAAGAGCATGTGGAAAATGTCTGTTACAGTCTGTAGGACGAGATTGATTGCGATCCACTTTTTTTCACTATTAGAAGAAGAAAAATGGAATTGACTTTGTCTTCCGGCTTTCTAGCAGTATGGGGTGCTACATGGCGGCAAATTTAGTAGTCAGATATCTTCTCTTCACCTAATAGTAATTGTAGATCTGGACAGAAAGCCAGTCTAACCGAGTTCTTGTGCTCAATCACTTGAGCTACCTATACACACTGATCAACTACATACTAGTCATGAGGGAAGATGTAGATTACAACGTCGTCCGAGCATGCTGTCAGACTGATGATCTGAGACAAAAAGCTGTTAGTCACTTATCGAGAGTCATTCCATGACTGATAGTACTGATGTTCGAAAACAGTACCTTTTGTGTACATGTCGAACAGCGTAGTCATTCAGCTTTCGCCGCTACAATCTCAGTATTAAATTCAACACCCATTTCCAATCTTATTTCACAATACCCTGATTTTTTAAATCGGTTAGCAATGAAGCTTTCTATTTTTTCGGACTGCACCAGAGTCACTGATCAAATTCTAGGTCTATGTAATTATGCCAGTCCATATTTTAAGCATTCACTAAACATGGGTGTGTGATTGTGGCTCTTCTCTACGCATACACCCATCCAGCTTCAAATATTATTATTGACATTTCTTCGGTCTAAAGTCAAATGCACATCGATCGACCTCGATTTACATTCATCAAACTATTTTAAGAATGGATGGAGGCAGATAGAGGTATAGAACAGACCAACATCAATCCTTCCACTAATCCACATTCCCACGCACATCTTCTGATTTTTTCCTGCTACGAAGAAGCCTACCCTTGATGAAGAGCGCTGTGGCTAGATGTGTTTCTTCAGAATAACACAGTGGGGAGCACTGTATACAATATGCTTTACAGTGAACGAAAACGATTGCTTTCGCGCTCGTATTTGTCATATTTAAATGCTAATCAACACGAGCCGCTGCAACTTGGAGAGATCATCGCATGCATGTCTGAGTACTTAGATGTGAGTTCACTCTTCAATAGCACTTGCAGCCATGCCCACACCTAAGAACCTTCACATAAGCTAGCATTCCAAGAAGATCATTTTTATTTTTAAGCGATACTCTTTGAAAGTGATAAAAACATGAAACAGAGTGAAGCTTGACTTGATTACTTTTAGGGTCCATTCGATATTGAGTTTGCTACACTAAACACATCTCTCTCAGTTAATTCAAAGCGAAAATCGTAGATCCATCATGACCCTATTTGAAAAACTATTTTTTAATGTAACTCATTATCTGCTGAACTCGGATTAATTTTTTTACCATCTACTCACTAAAACACATTTTATGAAATAAGACATCGCTCATGAACCCCTGGCCGACATTCCCTTTATGTACTCATTTTCTAAGTCATGCTACGCTCTTTGTTTTCTTTGTTAATATATCAGTCAATAGAAATTTAGCTTATTTTTCATCCTATTATTTACCATATACCAGCACCAACTGCACTTTTTCACATAGACATTCATCACACTAGATCTCGCCGGTAATGAAATTGGACCTCTTGGGGCACAACATCTGGCTGATGCATTACGACATAACACGGTAATGCTTATTCTTTCTTCATTCCTATCATATACCCATCTGCATTTTTCACACAGACACTCACGACACTCAATCTCCAGCACAATGAAATCGGAGAGAAAGGTGCACAACATCTGGCTGATGCCCTACGAAATAATACGGTGACTCTTATTCTCTCTACATATCACTCATATAACCATTTGCACTTTTTTACACAGACACTTACCACACTCAATCTCCAATACAATGAAATTGGAGACAAAGGAGCACAACATCTGGCTGACGCATTGCGAAATAGCACGGTGACCTTCATTCTCTCCTCATCTCTCTTATATAACTATCTGTACTTTTTCACACAGACACTCTCCACATTAAATCTATCCTGGAATCAAATCGGAGCTCTTGGAGCACAACATCTTGCTGATGCTTTATGTCATAGCACGGTAACGCTCATTCTCTCTTCATATCTCTAAATATGCCACTGCTCTTTTTCATACAGACACTTACGAGACTAGATATCTCCTATAATCCAATCAGAGCTCTTGGAGCACAACATCTTGCTGATGCTTTACGACATAATACGGTGATCCTCATTCTCTCTTCATCTCTCTCATATACTCATCTGTTATTTTTCATATAGACACTCACTACGCTAGATCTTCAAATCAATCAAATCGGATCTCTTGGAGCACAAGATCTGGCTGATGCATTAGAAAATAATATGGTGACCCTCATTCTTTTATCATCTTTCTCATATACCTGTCTACCATTATTCACACAGACACTCACCACACTGGATCTCCAACTCAATCAAATTGGAGATGTCGGAGCAGAACATCTGGCCAATGCATTACGAAATAACACGGTAACTCTCATTCTCTCTTCATCCCTCTCATATATCCATCTGTACCTTTCCACACAGACACTTACCGCACTACATCTCTCCTACAATGAAATCGGAGGCAAAGGAGCACAACATCTGGCTGATGCGTTGCAAAATAACACAGTGACTCTCATTTTCTCTTCATTTCTCTCATACACTCATCTGTACTTTTTCACACAGACACTCACCACATTAAATCTCTCTTCCAATCAAATCAGAGAAATAGGAGCACAACATCTAGCTGATGTATTACGACATAACACGGTAACGCTCATTCTCTCTTCATTCCTCTCAGATATCCATCTGTGCTTTTCCATGCAGACACTCACAACACTCGATCTCCAACACAATGAAATTGGAGAGAAAGGAGCACAACAACTGGCTGATGCATTACGAAATAACACAGTGACCCTCATCCTTTCTTCATCTCTCTCATATATTCATCTGTACTTTTTCGCACAGACACTCACTACACTAGATCTCAACCAAAATCAAATCGGAGACAAAGGAACACAACACTTGGCTGATGCATTACGAAATAACATGGTGACCATAATTCTCCCTTCATCTCTCATGTATGCATCTGCATTTTTCACACAGACACTCACCACACTCGATCTCCACCAAAATCAAATCGGAGACAAAGGAGCACAACACTTGGCTGATGCATTACGAAATAACACAGTAACGTTCATTCTGTCTACATCTCTCTCTCTTATACCCATCTGTACTTTTTCACACAGACACTCACCACACTAGATCTCCAACTCAATCAAATCGGACATAAACTGGACAACGGTTTGAAGGAACTGATTGAACGAAATATAAAAAACCAAGAAAATTTGGTGCATTCATTTTGAAGATGGTTTAGTGAAGAATTGAAACAACCTAATAAATATGAGACTATGTTTTTTTTTTGTTTGAAAAGGACAATAAAGCCTTTTGATTTTCTAGATGATGTGCTTGATAATGGAGATATTGCGTTAGTTTTCGTATAGGGGAAGCATGAAGACATAGGAGTTCTTTTTTTGTGTCATGTTACATATATGATTCTAGTGAAAAGAGATAGTGTACGTTCTTATAATCGATGATTATTTCATATTGGTAAACTTGTGTTAAAATTGTTTCAGCCAATGCAGAATGAAGTAGACTCTTTATTCCAAGATGTTATCGTTAGTGTTCGTCAGTGTGAATGATGATTTGTTCATATGACTTGGAAGAATGATGATATGAATATTCGATTGACCTTATGGTGTTTAATAGTGTGAATGTGAAATGATCAAAAATTCGCAAAAGTTTCTTTTTCTTGTAAACAGGATCTGATTTTCCGATGATTAGTAACCCTAACGATCAGCTGAAAATGCCCATGAGAAATACAAACTATTTCCTCATCGGCGATCACAAAAATATGAGATTCTGTTGCTTTAATTGACATGCAAAAAAGGATTCCGTTGACTATTTGGAGTGATAGAGATGAAGAGATCGAATTAGATGTAGCAGAAGTGTTTCCAAGTTCGATTTATTTGTATCAAAATGTCCGATGATTGCCGAATGTTACTTGATATTATCTTGGATTCTCATGATTTTTGGATGGTAACAGGTGTGAGTGTAGATGTCGATTTTCTCTTAATGCACATCTAGACTCTCATTGACAGTTTGTGGAGGATTAACAATACTGTTTGTTGTGAATAATGTTAGGGTGGCAAAAAAAAGAATGTGCCTCTCTAGAAGAAGTGAAATGTTACCTCCTCGGTATTATTATGTCTATCGCTCTTCGTGAAGTTCTCTCTCGACAGTCTTTCTGATCTTGTTGTTTTTCTTTCTTTATATCGCCTTTATTACTTCATTATTTTATTCTTATTTTTATTTTAATGCTGTCCAGTACTCGTATCCACAGTCCTAAAGCTCCATCGTTCCTTTAGGACTGATATGATCACAGAACCAAAGAATACTAATAATAAAGCTGTCCATATGAACATCATGTCAAACTATTGATGGATCTATACACAATGTTTTTGTCCATAATTGCGAATGACTCGGATATGCGTATTGATATAACATAATTTTATCATTAACAACTGATTACACTAATATGAAATTATTATAATGAAAATCGTCGAACATAATACTCATTATCATCATGAACAGGTTCATGTAATGTTTTTTGCATATTTCACAATGCGATAGAACTTAATCAGAAGTTATTTGACGAATTTCATTAACAGATTAATTTCAATAACAATTTAACTCTGTAAATACATAAAAGAATTAAATAATATGAAATATCTTTTATTAAAATCGAATAAATATCTTGTTTAAATTTTAAAATCTTTCTTATAATTAAATAATATGAAAAATGATATTTGTAAAGATTATTTAGGAGAAATGTTTTCTTTGTCAATACACAATAAATAGTTCATTAGTTATTTTCGCAATCAACTAAATTAATCTGAAAAGATTTTACATTTTCAGCTGCATAAAACTGTTATGAATCCTACTTAGTAGAAGAAAAGTGATTATATCATATTTAATCGCGATGATCGAATAACCAATGGATAATTCGCTATTTAATCAATAATTTCGCTCATCGATTGGAAAAAAAAGGCAATTAATCAACTGATTTCTCTTAGAGTTGTCAAATCGAGCAGTAGTAAGTACATATGTTAAACTTTTTTGAAGCATATTCAGAAAAATTTGTAAGTAGTTAAAAAGCAGTTGAATTTTCCATATGAGTGTCGCTATCCTAGTGAAAATATTGCTTGGCGAATATACATAATGTACTGACAGTAGAAAATGCAGCAACGACCCATTGAAACTTAACACTCATGAGTAATAAAAAACAGTATACGTGTCACAATCTGACAATCCGAATATGACAATCGGCTAGAGTGTGACTATGCGTGCGACTCTAGATGTAGGTTTAAGTGTAGGTGGTGGCAGATGTGACTGTGTGTTAGGACCTTCTTATCATCCACACTCACACTTGTCTCCAACTTGGCGGACTCTATTACTCATATATAGACTTTATTGGCATTTTCAATAAGATTCAATTGAATTGGTGGCATCAAGGACATTTAAAAAGTACCACTCGTAGATCAATATTTGACTTGATGAATACGCAATATAATTTTATTTCATGATTAACAAAGACATACATCCTATTAAAGTTGACTTGGTTTCACATTGTTTATAATGTTTCGAAAAGAATTTAAATGATCAGTTGAACAAAACATTCCTTGTACAATGAACTTATTCGTCATGTGTTATTAAAAACTTTTTTCTTTCTTTCGCTTAATCAATATGAATGACTTTCGACAGTCAAAGATTATTCCTTCATAAGAAATTATATATCTTATTCAAGAGACAGAGTGATAGTAATATTCTTGCAATTAATCCAAAATAATACTAGAAATGATGCAAAATAATGAGAAATGGAAAACTAGTTAAATATATCTGACTACCTATAAAAAAAAAAGAAAAAGAAAAAAGCGATTAAGTTCAGATATCATCAATTTTAACATGAACAAATATTGTTCCATGAATATAATCTCCATTTTTGGCTTTTAATTTAATATGTCGATAACCTAATTGAAGTACATTAAATGGTATACAAGCTTGTCCAATAAATGATGAACCACCATGTCGATCATGATCACGTACTTGAAAAATAACAAGACATAATTCTGGACAATAAATATCTGCTGTTATTTTATAATCCCATATTGGATTTAAACCATTATTACGTATTGATGGTGTACGATGTTCTGTATAATCACATTCAATACCATATGTACAAATTTTAACATATGGATCCGATATATCAGGATCATCAACTGAGTTATTTTCTTTCGGTAAATGTTGTCCACTAATAAGAAGAATTTGTAAACGTTTTCCTTTTTCATAAAATTTTTCTTTTGGATCATATGATGGATCCTTTCCTAATAAACATGGCGGTTTTAAAAGATAACCACATCCACCATTATCACTAAAAAATCCATGTTGAAGACACATGGATTCATCATTTGTTTGATAATTAAGTGCAACCATTTGAATCCCTAAATGAAATCAAAAAATTTCTTATCTATATCGAAGAAAGCAAACAAGAAAATCATTTTCCTACCATAAGTCCAATAAAATAATGGATGCATATTACTTGAATTCTGTCGTATTGTTCCAGGATAAACACGTACTAAATGATGTTGAGTTAATGCAATAAGATCAAGATGATGTGGTACTTCTACAGCAATTAAATCATCAGCTATTGATTCTTTTAATGATATTGAATGATAACATTTTTCTATGCAATACAAGAAAAATTTATCATCTAATTTGTTTAAAAAGATTGATTACATACGAGTAGATAGTGTCTGTGGTATACTAGTAAACGAAACGTTTTGACAATAAATTAATAAACTAGCTAAATCAGGATGATATTCCTAAAAATCTCATAGAAGATTAGTTAAAAATAAACAAATGAGTTTATTACATTAGGATTTTGTTCAATTTGATTACTGATTCGATTCAATTTTGTATTAGTTGTTGTTTGTCCTTGTGAATGATGACGGCTCTATGTTATTCAAGTATACATGTATACATATATAATAAAATGACAAAAAAAGAAATTTTATTATTATTACTCTAATGATAACTTTATATTTCAATTGTTCAGGTGATGGTAACGTTTGAAAATCTTCTATCAATGGTTTAGATAATAACTGATCTATTATAAACGAAAATTTCATATATGAATATAATGATTAAAAACGTTTTCTTTTTTGTTTGTTCACTTTTAAAAGTATCTTGTAAAAGACGTGCTATAACACCTTGCTGTTGATATGAACAACGATTTTCAAGATTTAAAAATAATGGATAACTAATTTAAAAGAAAAAATCAAATTTATTTCTAGAATTAACTTTCATAAACCTACGGTGAAACAGTAAATGCTTCTAATGCAATAGCATTCAAAATTTCTTGAAGTTTAATTGGTGTAGTTAATGTATTTCCATGATAAACGATCGGTTCCATATTATCACCATCATAACAATCGACTAATTATTAAAAGAATCCATTGAGTCAGACAAAAACAAAAAAAGAAACGGTCGCTTACTTTCAACTGCTCGACAACCAGTTCTTAATGCACGTACATAAGTTTCAGCCGTACAATCACCATAAACTTGATAACCTTGAATATAACTATTAACAAAAAATATGAAATTTTTTGTCAAATAATTTCTTTTGTTTTTTGTTTTTTATTCACTCACGTATTATGTGATGTTGCAATAAAATAATCTGTAATTGGTTGTGTCATATCTTGATATATACGATGAATTTTATCTGGATTCATAATACAGAATTCATCATGAAGTAAAAGTAAACGAAAACCATCAACACCTATTTCCTCACATTGACGTCCTTCGATTGATGGTTCAAATCGAACAATTAATCTTGAACAATCTTCAATTGATAAAGCTTTCATATGTTCTTCTTTTTGTAGAAAATCTTTTAATTGTTCAATTGTTAAAAAATTCTTTCTTACAGCTCTATGTGATGATAGAGTACTTTCAGGTGTTATTGATGATGAACGTCGACGCAAATTTGATTTAACATGTTTATTTTTGGAATTTATTGATTTTCGAAGATTTAATGGTTGAGAATTATTACGTGTATTAAGCCTAAATATTACATTAGGTAATTTATGGATAACAGTATAGTCAGATAGAGTTCCTGCCATTTGTTCATTACTACTACCATTAAATCTAAAGTTCAATTAAATAAATTATATTGATACTGTTCGTTTGTAAAAAAAAACGAAAGATTTGATGCTTTAAGAAAAAGCAAATGTTTTTTTCAAGGGCAAAT